TAAAATTCAAATGATTTGGAGTAAGATGAAAAATTCAGCAACATCAAATTTTGAACTGTCTACAGTTGATAATGTTTCATGCTTCATTTGTCTTGGTAATTATGAGATTTCAGTCATTATTTAGAGACTAAGTACTGTACATATTCTTCATAGCAGTTCTTCAGATTTTATGTTATGCTGTAATAAAGTCTCTAATGTAAATTGAACCCAAACCACCATGTTTTTCAGTTTGGCTTTTCTTCATTGACAGGTTCATTGCATTAATGCAAAATCTACTTTCACCTAGTGTGAATTGATTTTCATATTTTTATCTAAAATGCAGCAAAAGTTTATAATGAATAGTGAACAAATTAAGCCAAATAATTTTTAATGTACAAACTATGGCTATTTCATACAAACTATTTAGAAAAGTCTATTCCTGTTACCTGGAAATGTGTGAGGACTCAGTACAGCATCCTGATATCATATCCGTCTCCTTATCATTCATTCATTCAAATGGAGGCCTAAAAAGAAGATACAATTCTGTTGGTTTTCAGTAAATTTTTTCACATGATCTTAGAACTTCCTTTATTAGAAAGCTTGGTATGCTTTCTAATAAAGGGTTCAGTGCATTATTGGATAACTATTAGATGATTGCAAAGAATTCCCTGTCATCTAATGGTCATCCAGATTTTTGCAATCTAGATTTCTCTGAGTATTTCCCTCAATGCAATAGGGATGATGAGAGCAAGAACCTATCTAATTTGAAGCCATCATATTAAGAACAGAGCACAGTGGGTCAGTTTACAGGATATTTAAAGCACTGGTGGCCTTCATTCACAATATCTGAACATATAAATTACTCATAACAAATTAAGAGCTTTGGGGGAGCTTACTCAGCTGCTCATGAATAAAGGACTTGTCTTTTGGCAAGTATAATTTTAAAAAGCTTAATTATCTTTTTACAAATAAAGCCATCAATCTAGGTTAGTGATAGGCAACAGGGTATTTATACATAAGGAAAATGTGCTCAAAATCCCTCTTATTGCCCACAAGTGTCTTAAAGATATCTACAGTAGGCTCTGAGACATATAAGGTACAGAGGTGATAATACTTTGAATTGCATTCAGAAGTTGACTGTGGGCCAATACAGCTCTTGGATTAGATGAATTATATGGACAAATTTATCCATAGCTAGTCAAGCAACTAGCTTGTTTAAACTTCTACATATTCTTCAAGGTAAACTCATGGAAAGCAAATTGCAATAATACAACCATCAGCTCACAAGGAGTTGAGTAACTGGGCACTGAGCCAGGAAAGGATAGAACCATTAACCAAATGGATAAAAAAGATTTTATCTTTTATCTTTTGGCTGTTCACCACCCTGAGTCCTTCGGGAGTAGGGCGGTATATAAATTTAATTAATAAATAATAAATAATAAAAGCTGTCCTAATCAATTAGGAGCCACAAGTCCAGGGGAAACCCCAGATTTCAAATCAGCTGTGGTACAGGGAACTGTAATTCCATTCAGAGATATCATTGAATCTCAGTTCATAGCTACTTCAACTTACTGTGATAATAAACTATTCCTTTCTTTAAAACAAATGACTAAATAGGCAGCTGACATGCCTTTGAACTTCATGAAGGACATGGAGACATGCTTTAAAAATTAAAAAGATAGACAATTGCAATAAAATAGTTTTTTTAGAAGTCTGTCTACTTACCAGCAGAAAAAGATCAAATGATTACACTACTATATGGAGGAAAAATGGTGGTGACAGGGAGTGATGACATCAATCTGCCTTCTGGTAAATATGTCTTTTTTACCAGATACCCCAAATATAACAACCATTTTATGGATGCAAAAATACCCCACCTAGTCACACCTATTTTGTGACACACTCTTTAAATTCTAAATGTACCTAATAGTGCTTGTCCTTGACATACAGAATGAACAAATATCCTATTCCTATTTTGTCTCAGTTTTATTGGGTTATATTTGCTCTGTTCTGAGATAACAACCAAATATTTCATTATATTTGAGTGTATGTTTTCACACAGTATCAGCTGTAAAGAAGCTTTAGGCTATAAGGTAATCACGCCTAGGAACAGAAAAGCCTGAGGGCATCTAAAAAGAGCAGGATAATTGTAGTGGGTTAGAAAATACATTGGGTGACTGAGATGTGCATTAAAATGACCAGAGCACAAAACTGTGTTCAATACAATTTTAGTACAACTAAATCCATTAATGTTTTAGCAAGACTACAAGAAGAAGACATGATTTAACAATGGTCAATGCCTCTCCTTGACATTCAATCAATACATAGAATTCAGGTGTCTGGACAAGGAGAATTCAGCTTAGCTGAATAGTACAAAGAACAGACCAACATATAAACAAAGATGTCAACTCAATTTAATTTTTTTCTCTGTGATTTTAAATGAATGCCAACTTCAGTAGTGTGCCGTTACTATCTTCAAACTGCATGAATTCAGCTGCTGGTTTTATTTAGTACTGTACCCTCACACACTAAACTCCATTTATTTTTAAACACAGGGAAGTAAGTGAAGATGCCTCAGCTTTTTCTTAGCCAATACTGAGAATTCATACAGTTGACTAGAGTGTATAGATCAGGGGGGGATTCTACTTACCTTTACTACCAGTTCACAACGGGATCGCATGCGCAGAAGGCCGATGATGACATCTGGGGCAGTGGGCGGGGCCTCCCACCGGTTTTACTACCGGTTCTTGTGAACTGGTCCGAACTGGGGGCCACCCACCACTGGTATAGATCCCTGTGTTGTCTGAAGTCAGGCAGTTTGGGTAATTAATTGAGATCATAACTGAGAAAATAATCTGTTAAGTATACTCTCCAGTACGTCAATTACTTTGCTGGTAATTTGTTTCCATGTAGATTTAACAGGGTGCAGAAGAATATATATAATTGATGTCTGTTAATTGTAGTGATATTAATGAAAGAATGAATAATTCTATTTGCTGGAGACAGGATTATCCCTACAGATTTTTTTTTTTAATTGTGATGATGGCTACAAGCATATAATCAAATCCACTTCCCTATTCAATGGGTGTCACAACTCCCATTAAAAAGGAGCAGAGTTTGAGATATATACTGGGTTCCTTAAGTGTATGTGAGGCTCAAGGCAACCATATTAATTCTTAAATGTCCCAGTGGAAAGTAGAGGCTAAAATTTAGACCCTATCTTACTCTGAGGGCTTTGATTGCCACAGAATGGCTGCTGCTGCTATGCTTTTACACTCTTATTCTAACTATAGAACAATAAAAGATTTTTCATTTTCCTCCACATAATTACTCAATTCATTGTAGCTGATAGATAATCAAATACTGGTGTCTGAGAATTGGCTGTAGGAATCAACACAGTAACATCCCCCACTACTCTCTGTGCCTAATACTGAAAAGAGCAGAAATGGATAAGGTACCTCTATTTTCTAGAGGGGGTCAGTTCAGGACTCAAAGAAAGTATGGACTAGGGATGTAAACTGGTGGCAACACATGATAAGGCCCTTTTGGAGCACGAAATCTGGCAATGTAACAGTACTTGTTACAGCCAAGCCCTGTAAAATTGCTTAGGATACAACAGGAAGAATTTAAGTGGAAGGCATTTATATTTACTTCAGAAAGAGAGTAACTTTTATGAGGTTTAAATATACTCAGAAAGTGATAACACAGGAGAAAATAACATTAATATTGCTTACATCAATCAAATAACATAACTGCAGAAATTTTCTATTAGTGTTAAATGCACTTTCTCTTCCATCCTTCCTTTCCACCTTTCTGAAATTGTCAAGATTGATGTATAATGTTCAGCACTGACTTGTTGGTTGGCTGTTCTCAGAAATATTAATGTCTATCTTTTTAGTGCCTAGCTTTAACTTTTAATATAGCTTGTACTTGTATTATTAGTATAAATAAATCAATAAAACCTGAAAAGCTGCTATACAAACCCTTTAGCAGCATCAGAAGTCAGCAATACAGCACCTCACGTCCTGCTAGTTCTGTGAAATGTCTATACGTGTAAACAGACTACAGGTAGTCTTATAACATTGCCTGGATTTATAACAGATCATTTAGTGCAGTGACAGGTTGCTACTGGTTCGGTCTGGATCTTGTGAACCAGTTGTAGAGGCAGCAGGAGGCTCCGCCTACCCACTCGGATGTCATCATGGACGCTGTGCGCATGCACAGAACCTTCTGCGCATGCACAGAAGTGTTGCGTACGAACGAAGCAAGCACGCACACTCCCATTGCGAACTGGTAGCAATGGAACCCACCCCTGATTTAGTGACCATTCAAAGTTACAATGGCACTTTAAAAAGTGACTTATGGACATCTTTCCCAGTTACGACTTTTGCAGCATCTCCATGATCATGTGATCAAAATTCAGACACTTGGCAATTGGTTCATATTTATGATAGTTGCAGTGTCCCAAGGTCATGTGATCACCTTTTGTGACTTTTTAACAAGCAAACTCAATGGGGATGCCAGATTCACTTAACAATCAGGTTACTAACTTATCCACTGTAGTGATTCACTTAACAACTGAGGCAAGAAATGTTGTAAAATGGGGAAAAACTCACTTAAAAATGTCTAACAGAAATTTTGGGCTGAATTGTGGTCGTAAGTCGAGGACTACTTGTATTCCTGTTAATTTCTTCTTCAGTTTGCTTCATATTATTGTCAAAAATAAGTGGCTAAATATATTATCATCTAAGTGATGAAATTGATAATAGTCAGTGTAAAAAGATTTGTTTGGGAGGTCCCTTGTTTCCCAAATGTCTAGAAAAAAATTGATCCAATTTTTCAAGGCTAAAATAGAAGAAGACTGACATGATAATTGCAGTCAACAACAGCAGCAACTGTATTGATAAAAAAATTAATGAGTAGAACTTCATAGTTTAAAAAAAAGTTTGTGGAAAGATAAACATTAAAATATGTCTTAATTGTTCTCAATAGCCTTTTCTTCTTCTTTCCAAATCCTGCAGGTTGATAATGTATGGCTTTGTAAAGGCTCTGGTGCATGTCAATCAGCTGAACTCTGGTGATTTTCACTTCACTGACTGCTTATTATTCGGTTCTTTCATGTCTGCTACAGATCCAGGTAATGATATATAACATTGCATTAGAATTTTGATCTACTATGATCTTCTGTTTGATTGAATAGGAATATTGATCTAGCAATTCTTTGTCATTTTCTAAAGTAAATGTTTGCTAAACTAATCAGAGATTTAGTTAATCTGTTTCCATTTGTCAGTTGATACCTCCTTGACTGTTATTGTAAGAAATCAGAAATTGGAAAGCTGTATCCATGTTTCAGGGCTCCAGTCAATAATCTTATTTATTTGAAATAAATCAAGTTGATTTTTATCTCTTCCTGCATATTATTGAGGAACTGAATGAATCTCAAAATGCCTTAATGCAACTAAATGCAACAAGTGGTAAAGTAATGGTAATTTAGTAATATGGTAAAATCTAACACTGTAAATGATATGATCTGTGTGAAAGTGTCATTTATTCCAGTACAAATGTTCAGGCATGCATTTGTATAGAAAGCATTTATCAGGTATAGAAGTCTGGGTTCAATATTTAGTTTGTCCAGTTTCTTCAATAAGGTGTCTGTGTTTATTGAGTTAAATGCTGTGCTAAGATGTATGAAATATGTAAACAGATATTTACCATGTAAAAATTGAGTAATAGGATGGTATAGAATGAAACAGTTATCTGTTGTGGATGGCCAGGTCTGAACCCAGCCTGTTCTTCCACTAATATGTTCTCAATCATCCAATCCTCTATTTTCCTGAAGAAGTGTTTTGCATACATCCCACCTTTATAATCTATTTTACAGATCTGTGATTTTTACAGTATTCCTTGCCCCCCCCCCTTTTTTTTTTAAATGGAAACTATGATGGAGAGTTGACATCCTGCTGGGATATAACCAGAATTTTCTATATATGTAAATAGCCCTGCCAGTAGTGGAGCACATCAGTCAATGAGTGACCTGGGGGGGGGGGGTGTAGGAAGTAGGAAGTCTTCACCATGTACCTTGCTGGGTTTCAGTGATGGAATAATTTGAATTCAATAGTTGACATTCCTGAATGATCCTGCTTGGAGTTGGCAAATAAGTTAGTATAAAAATCCTCCAAAAGTAAAGAAAGGATTGGATGCAAGAACCATGATTAGAATGCAGTACTGCAGGCTAACTCATTAATCACTCCAGGAGTTCGATTCTGAGTGGCTCATGGTTGACTCGGCCTTCTATCCTTCCAGTCAGTAAAATGAGGACCCAGATTGTTGGGGGTTTATTATTATTATTGACTCTATAAAATGCTTAGGGAAGGCTGTAAAGCACTATGAACTGGTATATAAGTCGAAGTGCTATTACTATTCCTAACAGGAGATGGTTGCTTGCTTGTTAGGGGTTAACTGTTGACTTTTAGCTTTTTCATGATCTTGGATGTAGTTGTATTGAAAAATGTGTACAATGCCTCTTCTCTCTTTTTCCCACAATGGTTAATTATATTCTGGAGCTTCTCTCTATTCTTTCTATACCTGAAGGACAACAAAGGACTATCATATTGGAAATTAGAATGTAGGGCTAAATGTAAAATAAAAGGATCAGTATTTAAAACAGAAGATGAAGAAAAAAGATGAAAAGTAAACCATTGTGGGAACTCTTTACAGCAATTGTTGCCTCACTGCCATCTAGGCTCTTCTTCCTAAAATATTATGACAATTTATATTAATCTGTTCTGGCATATTTGTAATAGGCAGAAAAATAGCTTGTTTATATAAATACTGAGAATGGGCATTGTTGCGGCTGAAAAGGAATGAAAGGTATTAAAATACCTTTAATACACCGTACAAAGCACGGTGCTTCATGCATAGTGCTTTGTATAAAACATATGTGAAGAAATAACAGAAGAGTTTTTGATATATTGACCGCACATTTCAATAAACAAAAGAAATTGCTGTTAAGAATTCCAAAATAAACAAGGGCAAAAGGTGATGGATTAAAAGAACAGGTGGCTGATGAAATATTCAACTTTTAGAATTTTTTTTCTGCCATAAATCATTTTTCAAAATTGTTGAGCTTTACAGCATTTTCACTAAATACACCATTTCTTTTTTGTATATATATTTTAAGTAAAATAAACAAACAACCTCATCATCAGCATTCACCCATGACTGTAGATAGTCAGATATCAAATTTATAGGAAAATGTTGAGTCATGGTTCCAACCTAGCTATGAAGGAATGTAGCATCTGGGGAAAGAGTGGGGAAGAGGGAATCTTTGCAATTGCATTCCAGCTTTCCAGGAAGGACAATATGTTTCAGAAAGAGGCCCAAAATAAGATTGTTCTGAACTATATGAAAGAAGGAGAAAAAGGTTCAGGGTAACCAGGCTGTTTTCTCCAAAGTTATCATTAGCTACAGATCACCTTCTCAACAACCTTCCCTCCCTTCAAAAGAAGAAGTTGGTATTGGGTCTAAGGATGGCCTCTTGAGGAGGAGGAGATGGCATGGACTCAACTGTGAGTCCCTTCCTTGGCTGATTTTAAGATCCAGAAGGGAGCTTAGATGTAATAAATAACTGGCTAAGCTGGCAGTGCAGTTAATCTTGTCCACTTCCTTTGGAGTTATTATTGTCCTACCTGCGTTCTGATGTAGATTTGAAAAAGATAGATAAGATATTACATTCTTGGGGTACTAAACTAAAAATATTTTACATAGTTTTCACTTTTTCCTCTTTGAAATACAAAGCTTAGAAAAAATATTTGTATCTGGGAAAGATTTGCTGAAGCAGAACTGTTTTAAAACCACATGAACCTTCTTACCATCATTTAGGCGGATGTTCAAAACACTCTTTTAATTTGGTGTTTCTATGGTTACAGTTGTACAGCAATAGTTTGTTCCTTTCTCGGAGTTATTGGTTTTTTTTTCAAGTCATATAAAATAGCTGAAAAATATTTGGTAAGTTGTAGAGGATGTAGGGGGGAAAAAAACAAATAGCTTGGCAATTAAAATGCTTTATTGATGTTTCCTTTCTTTAGTTAAACCTTGAGTGGGATGGCTGATTAGCAAAGCCAGGAATCTATAATTATGGTTTGACTGTTATTTTTAGTATGCAAGTTTTCAGTATGGCTGGGTCAGTTGGGAAGCTTTTTATTCCCATTAGTCACTGAATTGAGCATGTTAAGCATGACTGATTGTTCTCTCTCTCTCAACTGTAGATTAATAAATCAATCCCTCTATAAATTCCATTAATTTCAGTCATTATTAGTATCACTATTTGGTGCATGGCCATACTTTTCTTTTCCTTTTTATCCTCTTGGTCAGTGGTGGGTTGCTCCCAGTTCACCCTGGTTCGGGCAAACAGGTAGCGGCAGCAGCGGGAGGCTCCACCCACCCGCTCAGGCATCATCAAATCACTCTATGCATGTGCAGTAGCTCCGCAGGCTTGGAAAAGTGAGCACGCGCGCCTGTGCACTATTGATAGCGAACTGGTAGCGCCGGGATTTGAAACCCACTACTGCTCTTGGTGTATATGACTATTGAAAGTATTGCAAGAAAACAATAGGAAGCATTTTCCAGGTTTCACCAAAAGAAATATCTTGCCTCTACAGCAGATGTCAGCAGTATGGGTCCCTCTGCATCCCTAGACATTTTCATGATCCCAAAAGGTACCTGGCCCATCTTACTTTTTTAAAATAATAATAATAATAATGAAGCAAATGAGGAAACCCAGGCAGGGCTTGTTCAACCCTTCCATGATTCATTCAGCCATTTATCCAAGCCTGAGATGCAATTATGCCAAATCCACATTCACCTTTATACGTATCGTAGATGCCTAGACAGACAGGAGAGTTCATAATGAGTATTAAATCCAAACCTTAAGGGTAAGGGAAGAAGAAACTTTTTTTTTTATTAAAAAGTTTTATAAGAAATACAATTTTCTCCCCCCACCCTTCCCCTTCCCCACATAAATTATACATTTTCTTATACATAAGAAATCCTCCATATACATGTTTCCCTTAAAGAAAGCATTAAAATAAAACATTTTAATTATATTCAGAGTTGCTCTTCTCCTTCTTCCCTCATTCCACAACAAACCTTCTTCTCCTCCTCCTTTCTTTCCCGTCCCTCCCTCCTCTTCCCTCCTACCTCTTCTCCCACCTCATCCTACTTCCTTTCCCTTTCCCCCACTTCTCTCTTCTTTTCCCCCTTCTCGCCTTCACTCCTACTCCTGTCCCCTTCCCTTCCCTTCCTCCTCTCCTTTCTTCCATTCCTCTCCCTCCCTCTCCTCTTCCTACCCCCTCCTCCTCTCTCCTTTCTAACTTCTTTGCTGTGAAATATTTTCCTCCTTTAGTATCTGAGCAACTCCTATATTCTAGAATACACTTTCTTCTGCTAAAACATTTCTCTATTCATCACTTTCCCCCCCCCCCTTCTCCCCCCCCTCCCCCCCCCACCCCTGACTTCCCAGAGCAAAAACAGGGTATAGCATCTAACAAACATATGCTAAAATAAACTAACAAATTATAAAGTTCAAAGCTCCCACATGTTCTTTAACTCCCTTTGCTCCAATTCAACAACCTCCCTTTTATAAATTCTCAATACCAATTAAATTAAATTCATTCTTCCTACTTATATAGAAAAAAAAGAAAAAAAACTTTTTCTTAATACATAATCCGATACTTTAGCAGTCTTACAAACAATAAAAATCATGAATAAATTCCATTTCTATACCAGAAAAAAAATTTTCATCTTAAAATCTTGCACATTTTATCTCATATATCTTTTAAAATAATATAGTCTAATGTTAAACATTTTAAAAATCTCTTAATACCTTTAAAACACTTATTTACCAAATATAAATTTCGGAATCTATAGGAGGGTATCTTTCAATTTTTCAATTAACCATCTTAATACCTCTAACTTTTTAAAAGAACAACCCTTAACTATCCAAAACTAATTATCAGTTTACAATAAAATTCTGAGTTTAACATTAATCCTCTTCGCTTCAAAGGGTTAGACATCCTAAAAGCTTATACAATTTATCTCATATATCTTGTAGAATAATATAACCTTATGTTAAACATT